ATTTCTCATATCTCTTGAAATTAGGCCATAGACTGCCTGATAGCGCAAGCTATTAATGAAGCGATAAGTCGTCAAGGAATAACAGTACATTCGATATCATTTTGTTAAACCTTTGGCTTAGACATGAGAATCATTTCTGTCAAGAACTAAACCCCTATCATCGTATCAATCGTTATGCTATGCTTTAAGCTCTGACTACTGATAGTGTGCACAGGTATCCAGTCGAGACTCTGCAGGCTCCAAATCGAAGCTCGATGCTCGGAGAACGGTGCATCTGCCAAAGTCGTCAGCAGTTCTCAATCGGCATGGAATCCGGTAGCGAGCTCGCATCTAATAGAAGCAAAGATATCATTAGTTCAGACATCAGCTAGTGGGAGAGGAAGACCTACGGGTCCGTTGCGTGCTGAATGTTGCAATGTTCCCAATCAGCTTCGCGAAGGATGGCAGCGCGAAATTTGACAGCATCATCGATACTGCAGAAACGGAAGACAACATTGCGTGGCTAGAGACATCATGAGCACGCAAGCCACTCTTGGAGATGGTTGCCAGCTTACCTCGCCAGGGACGCAGCAGTCCACGATCTTCTCCACCTTGCGATTGTTGGCGCCGGCTAACTTGAGGAGCTCGCCCATGTTGATGTTCATGCTGACACCAACGGCGCGGACAACACGTGTGCTGCCAATGGAGAGGTTGAAAGAAAGCTGAGTGCTGATGACATCGACCTCCTTGCCCATCTCCACGAAGACGGTCTTTCTCTTCTCTTTGTCAATGTCAATGCCATTGGGGTACTTATCATAGAAAGCCTTGCAGGCCTCGTGGTCGCAGAAAAGGACATGGGCTTGGTTGCCGGCGGGAGAGATGTGGATACTCTCAACCATACCACCATGGATAAGCGACAGAACCTTGGCAGGAGAACTCCAAGCGGAAGGAAGTCCCTTGATAATGATGCGTCTAACTTGAGCCGCTAGCAAGATGTCATATTTAGCGTCACAAGTCCACCCAAAGGAGCAAGAAGATTGATTGCATACCTGGCTTGTCACGTGCGACAGGAGTGCCCCAGGACTTGAACGTAGCAAGATTCTCGCGATCCTCTTCAACGACAGCATTGTCAGCAGCCTTCGTAGCCGAGACAGCATTCTCAGAAGCTACAACAGGAGTTTCCTGCTGGATGAACTCAGCGGCATCGCCGCGGAAGCCGGAAGCGGAGACCTTGGGAGCTTCAGCGTCGTCGTCGACGATGCCAGGCATCAGAGACGCGTTGTTATTATCGGTGTTTTTTTCAAAGTCAACAAAGCCGTCATCATTACGTGAGTGGGAGGCTTCTTCACAGACAGATCAATGTTAGTTGTGGTCTTCTGAATGTTTAGGTCGTGTGGTAGAAGTCAACTAACCAGAGAGCCACGCGTCGTTAAAAGCAGACACGGGAGCAGATCCATTGACATCAACAGGAGACTGTCCGCCAGAGTCATTGAAACCATTGGCATGGCCATTCTGCTGAGTAGAAGTATCCTGATCAGCCTGAGTTTTGGCCGCAGTGGCAGCCTCACGAGCCTGCTTCTCTCTAAGAGCTCGAGCAAAGGCCATGAAGCCAGCAGCATCATCCACATCAGCGACAGGATACTCCTTTGCGAGTTCAGCCATCTTGGATGGAGTGTAGGAATTGTGAGAAGAATCGCCAGACGAATAGCGGGAGTGGCGAGGTTTCAGAGGGCGGATGTTTGAAGGGAAAGAAAGTCCACCAGAGGTACGTGGGGTTTTGTTGACGGGGGCAACATGGGAAGACTGTTTGGTGTTGGAAAAATGTGCTTAGCTTCACTCTCACGACGTGTGCATGGCCCGCTTGTGCAAAGACGCCGATGTAATCAGGTGCACAGAACATAATGCTGAAACGAACACGAAGAAGGACAGAGAAATGGACGGAAGGAGGACTGACCTCCTGAGAATACTTCAAATTCTTTGCTTTATCTTCTTTCTTAGGCGCGTGCCTGCTTTCCTGCAGGCCATGAGAGTCCTTTCCCATGATATTGTCAAAAGCGTCAATGATCATGTCTGAGACTTGCTTGAGATCCATGGTCTCAGGTAGTCCGAGAGTGGTATCAAGAGCTTTTGCTAGCCAGGAGAACATAGAGAGAGCTTAGAAGGATGGAGAGGCTTTCTGTCACACGCTGTCACTGTCAGAGTAGGAGCGGAAAGATGTGGTAGATGGTTAGATGCAGAGTCATGGACAGGATGGTGGGAGGTTTACGCTTGTTATATAGCTCTCAGATGCTTCCTTAGCACAAGACAATGACTAGCCACCGGAATTATCCTTCTCACTACCTGGAATTAGGGCATGACAACGGAAATATCCGTTTCACTTCACTCAGCGATAGGCACGATGAGATACCCCAGCCGCCTTCACTGACAATAAGAGGCTGGTGGGGAGCGTCGAGCCTAACCATCAAAGACAAATAGTTAGCTTAAATATTTTTTGAGATATCACTTTCTTCTTAGGGCTGAGGCTTGGACATAGTTTCCAAGGTCATGGCAGACCTGGAAGATGAGTATACAGGAAGGAAGCAGTTTTGAAGATCGAGCTTCCGTGAGCTTCAGTCGATTATTTATGTATATCGCTTTTATATTAGACAAGAAGATAAGATACCAACATGGAACCGCCAATGGTAAGATTCTGTCGAACTCATGTCGACGGTACAGGAATGCTTTCATAACCTTCCTGACCCGGCTTGCGATTCTCGACGATAACTTGCAGCCCTCGACGTCCGCAATAGCCGTCATTCCCAGCAATTCGATCGATATGTTGGAAGGATCCACCACTATCTTCACTTGCATCTGCAACCCATACTGTTTCCTGAACAGTTTGGCCAGGCACCTCTGCCCGTCGTGGGTTGTACCACGGCAGCCCCACAAGGTGATTCCCAACGTTGTGGATGAAGGAATAGAGCTTCTCAAATCGGCGCGTGGTCCCAAGCCAGGACCAACTACGGAGGTCGTAGGCGACACGCACGAATGGGTTCAAGTAGATTCCGGTGTCGGTTATCTCATCTGGTTGCAGCTGAGGTTCCTGAATGTCCGCATGGATCAAACAGCACTCAGAAGCTTCCCAAAAGAGGTCGTGAGAGGCGCGGAAACGGGACGGAGTTTGATTCAGGCCCTTTCCTGCCGTGCCATGCTGGAAGAACTTGGCGTCAAAAGCGACCATTCCTCCCCAACAACTGCGTACACGCACGGCATCCTTCCCAGCTAGCACATCCTTTCGGCTATCACCATGTCCGGCCGTTGAAAACCACGGAAAGAAAGGAAGGCCCATTCCATAGCCCTGCAAGTCACGAGTGGCGTACGTATCATAGAACTTGAACGGGTTGATGAAGTCGACTGCGCAAGCTGCCCGATACTGAGCAACCCCATTTTGATCTGCATTGGTGGAAAACAATAGCTGAAGAGCATCAACTGGATCGAAAACGACGTCGTTCAGGTACAGGAGCTTATCGTAGCGCGTCTCAGGATCATTGTCCAGCGGTTTCAGAGCGCGGTTGCGAACCTCTGCCAGATACTCGATGCGCTTGATACGTTTCTGTCCGCCGGGGACTGTAACTCGGGGCAAGTTGTCCAGATCCAGATGCTCTTCGAATATGATGGAGCTCTTGCATGGTACTCGCTCCTTGAAATCCTGTAGTGCGCTTTTACCCTCTGGCCCGCTATCATTCTCGTATATACTTAAGAACACATTGTCGCTTCCCAGCAGGTCAATGAGCCGAAGAACTCGATCGCCCCATTCTCCGCCTGCTAATTCCCCGCCACGGTCATAAAGACTGGCAGCCACGAAGACCTTCTCATTGCGGATATTGCCTCTGCCCGACCTAGTCGATTGCGAGACTGCATCCCGGAGAACCGAGTAATGCGACGGCGGACGAGTGTAGGATGGACGAAAGATTGAAGTCAATACGACGAGGGCTAATATAATCCCTGCAACGACATGGATATAGAAGCAGGAGCGGCGTAGAAGGAGACGTCGATAACAACTTGGTCGTGATGAGGCTGATAAGACGCGTCGAGAAGATTTGAGGCGACGGTAGCCGGACGAAGTTGACGAGAAGAGCCGCGATAGGAAGGGAACTCGGTTGAGAAGCCGTCTGGGTCTGGGAGGAGCTTGCGACTCGAAGTCGGCCTCGTCCAGGTTAAAAGTTCCCTGAGAGTCGACAGAAGATCGAGTGTCAAGCTCGTACTCATCCGGGTGCAGTAGACGGGCAGACATGACGAAGAATCGTCATCAGCTGCTGGGAGCGATTTGCCGATACATTCATCGAATGCTCTGTATCAGCTGCTCTCGCATCAACGGGACATGCGCAAGAATTAGATACTATACCCACTTTCCTCCTCGTCTCAGCTCAAAGTATGGACGGCTTTCTCCAAGTGTCTGATTATGTCAGCCAAGGTGCCCTCCGCCAAGGCTGAGCCTGGAGATGGTTGAGGGATCAACGCTCTGGCTTTTGCCCCGTCCAGTCGGCATCAACTGATACTGGATGCCAACCTGTCAAGGCCTGAGGCAAACCGAAAGACGAAATTTCCCGATGTCTTGTATCGTAATACATTGCCAGCTACCAAGCTTTGGAGATGGCAGTCCCAGATTTCTCCGCCCAATTCTCCGACGTTGTGCCAAAGGTTCCACCCCACCCAGAATGAGCGTCATCGGTGGTCATACCGTCAGAGAGGGGCAGGATCACAAGCTTACAGGCTATAGTCCATATACTGAGTAGAAAACTGGAGTTTATCCGGCTTGGATACGGACATGGACCTATCGCCTCGCTGACGCTTCTTTCCCAGTCTCTATTTCTTACCCTTTATATAGCTGGCAATTCCGGTACCTGGACCTATAGATTCTGATCCATTTTCATCCTTACTTCCTTTGCAAACGGATTGCAACGTTCCCCATTACTCCGAAAAGGCCTTGCTCAAGTGTACGCTAAGCTTTAAATACAACCATACGGCATTTTACTGGCAATATGACTCAAGCTCGGTTTACATTTGCCAACTCCTCGGAAAAGGTCCCTGGTAATGGCACCTTGCCTCCCGAGTTCACGATAAATGCGAGTTCTTCTACGGATATCTGGTCGAAACCGCCCTCAACGGAACGCTTCAATGCACCTATCCTCTATCGCAGTGTGCCCTTGAAGTCATTCAAGAGGGCTCGAGTCGCAGTCAATGCCAATTGGCAGCAGAAATACGACCAAGGCGGCCTCATCCTGGTCTTGATTGCTGCAGACGGAACCAGAAAATGGGTGAAAACAGGCATTGAGCTCACGCACGGCAAACCTCATTTGAGCACTGTCTCGAAAGACCGTTGGGCGGATTGGAGCTTGCTTTCCATCCCTTCTGGCGGAGCAGCAGCAACCATTGAAATCGTCAGGGAAGCAGACGGGAGCTTGTGGATTTACTTAGTCGAGGGTGTCCAGAAGTCTCCTCTCCGTGAGATTACATGGTTTTTCGAGGAGCAAGAAAACGTTGAATGCTGGGTCGGCGTCTATGCTGCGAGGCCATCAAGTGAGGGAGGTGATTTGGTGGTCAACTTTGGACACCTGATTGTTGATCTGGCCGAGTAATACTCAGCATTTACATGTATGGACTGGCACGTGTATGTGGTAGGCAAGCAATGTTAGCGAGCTCGGTTCTTACAGGACCCTTTCGTTTGTCCCGGCGATAGAGGGCTCTTGAATAGCACGTAGACTTCAAAATGACAGGGTCAAGAGTCGTACTATTGAATCCAAGTCTTTCCTGGTCACACCCACACCTTGGACTCGTATATATTTCTCTTTTTAGACAACGCTAACGAATGCGTTGGTCAAGCAGTTGCTGGCGCATAGCACTTTCTCCAAGCATTTTATTGAGGGTGTTATTATCGAGTTTGCAATAACGATACCTGTTTGGAACTAACTCGGCTTAAGAATGGAGGTCAGAAGTTCTGTTTTACAAGTCGGCGCTCAATACGCAACCAGGCTCGAATACCAAAGTAAGAGCCAACAAAGTTAGAGTGACTCATTTGTATCTAAGGTCGAAGTTGTCAGAAGTCTCGGAGGAGGATAGGACACTAGTGAAAGTGGTTGAGAATATTACCTGTTCGAGGCAATAATCCAGGGTTGTAAACACCACGCACTAGCAATTAATTCAGGAATTAAAGCTCGTTGACCCACTCATAGTTTCTCTAGTCATAAATTGTCACGGAAAGTTCAGGTATCAGAGTAATGTGGTACTCAGCTCTCCGTATTGTTGATGGTCCGTGGCTGTGAATGATGATACGGTATACCTTTTTGTGCCTCTTCAGATTGTATCCCTAGAACAGTCCCCATAAACTGATCAAAAAAGCATCCAATCTAAAGGCCTCTCGGTGACTCCATTAAGTATCTACTCTCAGAGGGGCTCGTATTGCTTTCATAAGGTACCTTGTGCTGCCTGAGATAACCCGGACTTCCCCACTAGCGTAGCTGATCTTTTCGCTCAGCTGGCGGTCAGGAGTCTGAACCTAGATGACTACAAAGTTACAAAACATTGCGATGACTTAATATTCACCTAGTCTTCATCATGCGCAAAGTGCCTATACTATAGTAAGCCCAAGAGTAGGGCAAACAGTATTACTCACTGTGCTCTGTAGGGGTAATATAGATTGATTGATAGAGTGAGGGATATCCCGTCAGACTGGCCGCGGCAGCTGATCTTATGATCTTATCATATCTGATGGTATCCTGATTGCCACTTAATTAGGAATGTGACTCGACTGCTCTCCCGCATTCCCGCAAGTACCCAAGTCCAACCCGACTTTCAACCCCACTTATCATCCTCACACCACGCTTGTCTGACTTGCAATTCGATCTTCGTCTTGCCCAGTTCTTGTCATGATCATTTGATGATTTTCTAACGATCCACCACGATACCCGATTTTGATGATTCCTCCCTTCCTCCGATTGCCGCACAACCTGAGCGCCGAGGGGCAAGCGCCCTGACGACTTATCGATAACCACGCCTAAAAGGGTTATGGCGGACTTGACAGTTCATGAACAAGAGGACATACCGTACAAAATAGGGCAAGGCTCTCCAATATCCTGGTGCCTCGCGGGGCCATATTACCTATTGGAGCCTCGGGCGTCAAGCCCATAGGCTCTTCGGGATCTCATATTTTGCTGCAGCCCACGTCGACGTGCATAAGTGCGCCTCTAGATCGTGTTGCGCGGCTGTAATTAAATAATAATTTGAAAGGATTGTCAGGCCTCCTGGCTCGACTACTGGGTCTTCTTGTGCGGCAGGCTTACACCCATATCCGCTCTTGTGAGATCTGTTACTGATGAATGCGGTGCCCGACTCAGAGCATCGCGGACGTTTCTCATTGTTTTCTTCGTTCCCTTTTCCTTTACTGGGATACCCCTGTTTTTCCCACTATTTGCAATTTGCTTTTTCTATTCAGGTCATCGACTGGCTCGGACCACGAATATCCTCGAACTTCACCTCACTCATATCTCGGTGTGGTCACTGCTTCGCTGCTCGGTGCCTTTCTTCGGTTACGGCTTGTTGGCCCTGTTACACATACACTCGCGCTCCTCCTCGAGACCACGTTTTGCCGGCATCTATAAATGGACATCGCTTGTACAGAAGCAATACATCTGGGTTTCTCTCTGACAACTCCGTCCAAGCGAAATGCCCCTTCTCGATCACCGAACAGGACCCTCTTATGGCACAATCGACCAGATGGAACAACACAGCGATGATGAAGGAGAACGGTTTCTCCAGGGACAGGATGATACTGGCGGTTTCAATAGTGACAGAACGTCAATTTCGGAAGATTCGGTGCAGGAAGGCGTTAGAAAAATCGAAGCGATCAATTTGACTTGGACTGTACGGTCTCTGGTCATAGCATATGTCAGGTTAGTTCGTATCGGACATGCACGGCGCGTCTTATCATACTGACATCTTTGAACAGTATCTTTCTCATGTCATTTTGCACGTCTCTAGAGGGCCAGACCGTCGCGTCACTCGGAGCATATGCAACGAGTGCTTTTAGCAAGCACTCCTTGATTTCCACTGTTTTGGTTGTCCAGAATGTGGTCAACGGTAAGTACTATTATCTTGCCAGGTCTTTAATATTGCAGTGTAGGGCCAACTGACATCTCGCAGCTGTCATAAAACCTCCTATGGCGAAAGTCGCGGATGTCTTCGGTCGCTTTGAAGCATTCTGTGTTAGTATTCTCATATACGTGCTTGGGTATATTCAGATGGCCGCCTCCACCAACGTGCAAACGTATGCGTCTGCTCAAATCTTCTATTCCGCCGGTTCCACGGGTCTCCAAATACTGCAACAAGTTTTCATTGCTGACAGCAGTAATTTGCTGAACCGTGCCTTTCTGGCGCTGCTACCTGAATTCCCTTTCCTTGTGACCGTCTGGATTGGGCCGACTATCGCAGATGCGGTGCTGAAGCACGCCTCGTGGCGCTGGGGCTACGGGATGTGGTCGATTATTCTGCCTGCCTCTTTCCTGCCCTTAGCGCTTTCCTTGCTGCTGAATCAACGTAAGGCAAGGAGGCTGAACCTCATTAAATTAAAGTCTCGGCACCGCGGCGGCTTCTTTGCAGTATTGCGCCGTACATGGTATGACTTGGACATGGGCGGCTTGATCCTATTATCCGCGGCGGTTACATTGATCTTGGTGCCTCTTACTCTTGCTGCGAACTCGAAGAATGGCTGGAAGTCCGACAGCATCGTTGCGATGATCATAGTCGGCTTAATCTGTTTGATCGCTCTGCCATTCTGGGAAAGCTCCAAAAGACTGGCTCCAAAGCCCCTTTTGTCCCTGCATCTTCTTAAACAGCGGACTGCTCTTGCTGGCTGCACCCTTGCATTTTGGTATTTCAGTGAGTGTTTACTGTTCTCTTCCGCGAGACATCCTTCGAATTTTTGCTGACGCATCTCAGTGGCATTTTATTTCTCTGTTCAGCCATACTTTTATTCCTATCTCCAGGTTGTTCAAGGTTACGACGTCGCTACTGCTGGCCGGTTTACTCAAACATTTGCCTTCACCTCGACAATTGCTGCCTTTACGGTCTCGATATTGATCAAATACACCCGGCGCTATCGGATATTCGTCATTGCTGGCTGCGTGATCTATATTATAGGCATGGTGCTGATGATGGTAACTCGTCGCGAAGGAAGTACGCCAACGCAAGTCTTAGTGACTCAGGTGGTCGTCGGCATTGGTGGCGGACTCCTCAATGTCCCAGTACAGTTGGGAGTCCAAGCATCTGCCAGTCACCAGGAAGTTGCCGCCGCCACGGCCATGTTTCTGACGTCCATGGAGATGGGCGGCGCGGTTGGTGCTGCACTCTCGGGGGCAGTTTGGACGCATAATATCCCACGCAAGCTTCGACTTTACCTTCCCGAAGAGAACAAAGGAGATGCGGATGCAATCTTCGGCAAGATAACGAAGGCACTCTCGTACCCTCTCGGATCCCCCGTCAGGGTCGCTATCAACCAAGCATACCAGGAGACGTTCAAAAAGCTTCTGATTCTGGCTCTCATTGCCGTAGTACCATTGATACCCTTGAGCTTGGCGATGGAGGATTACAAACTTGATAAGGTGATTCATGATTGATTTTATTCTTACCTTTGATCCAGGCTAACTGCTCGACTAGATGACTGAGGAACCTCTGGTTGAACCAGTCCCCACTGAAGAGGAAGGAGTCGAACCGGATAGACACGTCAAACGAACGTGAACTGTCTTGAGTTCCTTGGAGACATCTACAACTATGCTGCTAGACGCAGCAGTGCCATGAATTCTACGAGCTTATGCGACGCAAGGACTTCACCAGGTGAAGGGGATCATTGTCTGGAATTTATGGTTGAATGACACGAAGAAAACAATCCTGGCAACAGTCAGCAACCAACCATGCATTTCTATTGGCGTAATGGATTACAGTGTACATATTACATTGCAAGATCCTGGATATGCTCTGGCCAGAGCAGATTCCGTGTCGGTTACCATTTCCCAGGAAAGAGATTGTACAAGAAGGCCCAGGGATTGTCATGATATTTATATAGACGCAGTCACGAACAGAATGATTAGACGACTACTATCTAACACCAGGCTTTTTTTGTTGTATCTATGCCTTAAACCGCTTTCGTATCCAGACGTCATTCGCCTGAGTCACTTGACCGCTTGCTCCCAGTTTCCCCTGAAAAGCTGGCATTGCCGCATAACTCATGCCATTAACAAGCTTGAGTATCAATCCATGTAGCCTTGTTGTATTCGATCAGAGTACTAACATGAGGTAGTTCGACTGAAATTTCGAGGCTCCCTATCACATTACTGTGGTTGAGAGAACGTCCATTCGAGGGGGTTCTGGGAGGGCTGCAGAGGAATTGTGCTCGTGTTTGCTTCCAGAAGGTCCATCTCATTTCCTATCCTTGTACGGTCTACGCAGCACTGCTAACTAGTTCCATCAGTTTCCCGACAAGGAGTACTGAGTATCTTAAGGATGGTGGACGATAACATGCAACATAGCGGAACCCCGTTTCGGACTCCGAGTGATTCCCTGAACACCGATGACTGCATTTCTAATCAAGGTTACAGAACGATTCTTATCCCGTGTTGGTTAGGATTGGCTTATGCAGGTCTGAAACGTGGCTGTATGCACGGTAAATGACACCTCACGAAGAATCTGTCTATGTCTGCTTCTCTCGACAGGTGTCGGAGATGATTTCTTGTTCGTCATGCTCGGATGATGATATGGATAGTTCCTGAGAAAAGGCATTGTCCCAGAAATTCCGTAATTGGGGCCACCCTTTCAGGGATATTACGTCCTGTGTCATCTTTGGTCATTGTTGATTTCAGTGCTTAGTTGTAGATATCTGGGAACTTGGCTACGAATCACTAGAAGATGGTAACTCCTCGCAGTTACCCTTATCCTTTGCTCCTCGAGCTTCCTCCTCCACCGAACTTCCTATCAGCTGGTATTCATCACAGTTTAAGCTCAGATCAATTGTTATTTTGAGGAACGCAATCATTCAGGGCCATCAGGCCGATAGTCCATGCAACGCGAGGATAGATATTGTGAGAAACATGAACCTCACTAAGAGCCAGATGCGCAATATCACGGATTCATATCCCCGTACTAGTTTGTTTGGGAGTCAATATGAATCAGTCTTGAAAGGTTAGTTGTGTTTTGAAAGCCTCGTCAGGGCGCTCAACATGCTGGGAAGGGCGGCCGCCTCGAAGCTCGAAACCTCGAGTCAGATTCGCTGGAAAGGACCAGTGAGCAGTTCTAATAAGCTCATACAGCGTGAAGCTCTGGTGAAGGTAGATGGCCAAATGGCCAATTCAGGTTGGCTGCTGGCGGAGCTAAATGGCAGAGTTGTGTAACAGCAACAGTTGGATACAGATGGACGATAATTTGTTGTTATTTTTGCCCACTCGCACACCTTCAAAAGCAACCTTCCATTCGAATGGCTGCGGCAGAGAATATAAGTAAAAATAATAAACATTGACCTCCAGAGGCGGTTACAGGAGTTGCAGTGTGACCATTGCATTGCTCCTGCGTCCTATATTCTTGACTGTGGAGAATCATGTGGTTATTTGTTTTCCGACGATCACGTCTCAAGTTTGACCCGATCCATAGCCTAAATTTTACCAAATAGTCGAACCGAAGGACGAGCAACGGTCCAGACAAATATGGAGGTGATGGCAAAATCTGACTGGCCGAGAGAGTGTACTTAGTGATGGGGAACCTCTGGCCTGTTATTGACACCTCTGGATCTGGTCCAAGTCATAATTATGCTTTGTAAAAATCGGCTACCATCTTGACAATTAGAACACGGAGGCTCGCATTACAGTGGCACTGCCAGAGGCTCAAGCCATTGAATAGGGCCTAGTTAGCTATGTAGCTGTTCCTTGGTGTTAATTCATGTGTTTCTCGGAAAGAAATCGCAAAAGCATGAGCGTGGGGTTGTCTCCGCGCGATTACTTCTCACCATCCAAAACTACCAAACTACCGCGGCTGCTTCTCCTTCCCCTCGTTGGAGAGATAACAACACTTGGTATGGGGCCACAAATCGAATGGTGTTCCCTTCAAAACGGCGATGGGAATAGGCAATAGGAGCGCAACCCGTGTTCTTTCTGCTTCAGAATATCAGATCGATGACACCTCTGACGATGAAAACGAATATGACGAGAGGGAAATTTTCTTTATTGTCACGATGAGTCTTGTCATTCTTGCCTTGATGGGTTCTGGTTCTGTATTGTACGACAATCTTCAACAAAGTTGCAGATGTAAATGATGGCAATTGAAAAGTAATGGTTATCATCAAAGCAGCCGAGAGATTTTGATGGTGTGAGATAGTCTTGATCGGCCTTGAGACACAGACACAGCTTCCACTTTAAGGTACTCCGTACTGCGTCTGAGTCCTTACCTAGGTAGCTCAAGGTACTTGGCCTCTTGCTGTTCCTGTTAGTTGCTCCGTACCTAGCTAAGAGTCCTACCTTACTTAGACTGTTAGAGTGCTAGACCGAGCTCTGTCCCTCCTTCTCCTCCACTTCTCCCGCCCGCCCACATTGGCTGGCTCGACCATCACTCCCGTCCTCTTTCATTCACGGATACTGACTGATTGCCTTAGCTAGCCTTTCACCGCACACCACCATACCATACTCTTTCTCCCTCTCTCTCGATCTGCTGGCCGTCATCCTCCCCATCAACTTATTGTTCTCCATCTCCAAAATAATTATTTCCATCTCATTTTGTGTCTTGACCTTCCCTTGCACGCACTACCTCTGTTCCCATTCACCACCGTCCATCATTATCTAGATTCTGCCATCTCCATTTCGTCTCCTTTTTGACGATCCTCCTCACCGCGATTTCCTCCCTATCTATTATACTCTTTACGCACCCTCGCTCCTCGTCGCCGTTCTTGAGCCTGTGGATCAGCTGGAGCATTTTTTCAACGCTCTCGCTCTCAAGAGATCGTTTCTATATCTAAGTTTGCAATATGGTTGTAGCTACAATTAAGTACGTTGAATCGTCCCCATTTCTTCACTTCTGTCTTCGTCATCACCTTCCCTTCCTTTTCCCCTCCTTCTATTTCCCCCTTGTCCTTTCTGGGTAGTATCTTTAGTGGACAGTCAAAGTATCCCTGTGAATCAGTCAAATGCTAACGAGGTTCTTTTCATTATCTACAGATGTGTCGTCGTCGGTGATGGTGCTGTGGGAAAGACATGCCTTCTTATCTCTTATACAACAAACAAGTTCCCCTCAGAATATGTCCCCACCGTCTTTGACAACTATGCGGTTACTGTCATGTAAGTGACATCTAACTCTCAATTTTACGGTTCAATGCACCCTTGTGATATACAACCTCGTCCTTTCATTCTTCGCCCACGCCTCCCTGTAGTCGAAACTAGCACTGTGTGGGAAGCGACTTCGTCATTTCTTTCAGCACCCAAAAAGGCTATCATCAACTAACTTGGACTCGCCTGATATAGGATCGGCGATGAGCCTTATACCTTGGGACTGTTCGATACCGCCGGTCAGGAGGATTATGACCGTCTCCGCCCCCTTTCCTACCCTCAGACAGATGTCTTCCTCGTCTGCTTCTCGGTGACCTCTCCTGCCTCGTTCGAAAACGTCCGCGAGAAGTGGTTTCCTGAGGTGCACCATCACTGCCCCGGTGTGCCCTGTTTGATCGTCGGTACCCAAGTTGATCTTCGGGATGACCCTGCCGTTCGCGAGAAGCTCTCCCGTCAGAAGATGCAACCCATCCGCAAGGAAGATGGCGATCGTATGGCGAAGGAGCTGGGTGCTGTAAAATACGTCGAGTGCTCCGCTTTGACACAGTACAAGCTTAAGGATGTCTTTGATGAGGTTCGTTTTGGCTGCGATACCAATCGAATAAGTCATATCGGACGCTGACTCGGATTTCCAATCATAGGCAATTGTTGCGGCCCTGGAGCCCGCCCCGAAGAAGAAGTCCAGATGCGTCTTGCTGTAAAATCTTCCATCCAAACCTTCTGTACATCAAGGCGATTCAGGTCGGTCCGCTCTGGAAGAACCCTCTCCTCATTGAGGGTATTGTCTCATTGACGCCAGCCTCAACAGAGATATTACGCGATTCAGATTTTTATCGAAGAGTGCCACAGGTTTATGGAGTTTCGGAAGAAAGCTTTCCCAGCTACAGGGTCACTGCTTACTCGATTAACGTCTCACTATAATCTCTCGAGCTCTTCTTTACGCGGTACCGCTTTCGTCGAAACAATGATGCATTCCTATCCCCAGCTTGGCCATTTCACACGATACTTTTGATTCCTTGAATCTTCGCCCTTGTGCCGACCATCAATACGCAACGTTATATCTCTTGCGGCAAGCCAACACCTTTCTCTTCTATTTGCTCACTGCAACGGGTTGATCTCTCTTTCTCTGCTCTATTTGTCCCCTACCTTTTCTCAATTCCCGTGCTCTTCATCCTGCTTCATCAAACCATTCTTGATCCTCGATTTTCATTACCCCAGGTTCCGATCAACCTCTCATCGTCTCTATCGGCGTTGGAAGTCAGGGCGTCGTTGTTTTGGCTGGCTGATGATATTAATCTGTTTTCAGATTATTTTTCTCCTCTTTTCCTGCTTCTTATCTTGCTGCGTGATCTGTCGCTTCTTGTCACCAAATATTCCCTCCTACTTCGACTACATGCTTTGACCCTCTTCATGACGCTTTATTATGATTTTCGCAAG